AGCTCTAATATCTATCAAAGTCTAACCAATTTTATTTCCTATGCCCAAAATTCGCAACTAAGCTATGATACTATTTTGTATCAGAGCGTAATCAATTCTATTTTTGCAATCTAAACTCTGATACCACTTTGGATAAGTTTGAAAACTCTTCTCTGAAATAATATGCACAAGGTACTCTACTTCTGTCTTGGCAAAAGAACACTTGCTAAGCTTGGCAAACAGCTGGTTACCTTTCATTATTCTTAAAACTTCCCCTAGATGATCCCAAGGGCTCTCCAAGGTAGGACTGTATATCAGGATGTCATCAAAGAAAACCAATACTTTTTTTCCAATTAGGGGCTTGAATACATAGTTCAACAGGTCTTGGAATGTAGCTTAGGCATTTGTCAAACCAAAAGGCATCACCTTGAACTCATACAACCCTTGGTGTGTTTTGAAGGCTGTTTTGTATTCATCCCCTCCTTCATTTTAACTTGATGATACCCAGCTCTCAGATCCAACTTGGTAAAGATCTTAGCATTGGCCAGTTTTGAAAATAAGTCTTCAACCAAGGGAATAGGAAACTTGTTTTTGATAGTTATTCCATTCAAGGCTTTAACATCTCTACTGAAGGAAGCTGCGAGAAGTGCTGTGGGAAATAATACCTGCTGTTAACATTTCTTCCACCATCTTTTCAATTATATTTTTTTTGCACAAAAGAGTATCTGTAAGGCTTGAAATTTACAGGTATGGCTCCCAGGGTTAGTGGAATCTCATGGTCAAAAGATTGTAGATAGTGTTGTAGGCTCCTCAAACAACTCCTGAAATTCCTTTAAGATTGTAGATAGCTCATGTGTGTCTGTTTCTGAATTGTAGTGATGAGCATTGTCTAACTTTTCTGTTTGAGTACTGTGCATCATACCTTGCACCAAGTACCCTTTTACCCCTTCTTTTTTCCACCTTCTGACCTCCTTCTTGGAGGCTTGTTGCAAAGTAACTCCCTTAGTCAATCCCTCCAATAACACATTCTTTCCCTCTTTATGAAATGATATTCCAGGTGGCTTAGTATGCAGTTGGATTGGTGCATAAGAATCAATCCAATCCATTCCTAAGACCATGCCACACCCTCCCAACTTGAGTACTCTGACATCTCTCTTAGAAGTCTCACTTTGTACCTGCCATTTCAGCTCACAACAGATGGAATCACATGCTATTCTATCTCCATTGGCCACTGTCACCATGAGAGTTTTAGCCTTCTCAGGTATAATTCTCATTTGAATGAGTAGTTTAGGGTCTATAAAGCTGTGTGTGCTCCTACTATCCACTAGAATGGTGACTGGTTGCTTGCTAATGGTTCCAACCAACTTGATGGTGTTTATTCCTTCACCACCAATAACAACACATAATGTCACTTCCACCTTTTCTGGTTCCAGACTAACCACAACTTCTTCATTCTCAGGTTGATCCCTATTGGTCTCCTCTTCCTGTTCTTGGAGATCAGTTCCCTTAATTATATTCCAGGGCTCCAAGGTTCAAAACATCTGAAACATCTATTTTGCTCCCTAAGTTGGTTTTTAAATCTTCTAACTTCAGAGGTTCTGGCATTCGATTGGAGAGTATTTGAGGCTGAGGTTTTAGGTAGGTTTTGGCTGGTTTGGGAATTATATGGCTCAGGGTTTCTGGGATTGTAGGGTTCTTTGGCCAGTGAGGGTTGGTTTTTGGGTATGATAAGAGGTTGTTTTCTGTGGTTCATTCCCCTTCAAGCCTTTCTCAAACTACCTGGCTAACCATATTGCATCTTCCAAACTGCCAGGTCTAGATGTTCTCACAAAGCACCTTAAGTGTTGTTTCAATCTCACCACAAAAATATCCAAAAAATACTACTATGACACTTTCCCACTGTTTAAAGTTAGAGAACTCCTCCATTACATCAACATTGTTTTCACAGAATCTCTTACATACAGCCCTTGAAAACACAACCCACTGGAATCCCACTATTAAGCCATTAAGGTACCCTTCAAACCATACCCCCACCTTTCCTGTTAAATTCACACACAACACATTCATTATTTCATCCCTAGGTATTCTAGCAAGCATAAAAAATCTTTCACATCTTACTACCCATAATCTGGGGTGTTCATAGTCTGGGGTGCCTAAAATTTTGCATCATAAACATTGATATCTATTAAAGTCTAACAAATTTTATTTCCTATGTCCAAAATTTGCAACTAAGCTCTGATACTATTTTATATCATAGCTTAATCAATTATATTTCTTATGACCAAGATTTTGCAATCTAACCTCTGATACCACTTTGTATCAGAGCTTAATTGAACAAAAAAATTGCATGTAATGTTGAACTATTTTCGACATTGATTTTATTTTAACTACGGATTTTCAAATCTTATCCTCTCTTGAAATCTACTCTTAACCGTTGGTATATGTCAAAGCACAATGGGAAGATGGTCAGTTATCGTACCTTCAATGGAAGCTATTTTGGAAAATAAACATTCAACTTAATTAGTATTAAATTTCATGACACACTTCCTCTCTGCGGTTGTTCCAACTTTTAAATTCCTAGTCAATTTTTAATTTCTATAACCACCGTGTAATTGAGTCTAACCAATTTTGTTTTCTACGTCCAAGATCTCGCAACGTAGACTCTGATATCACTTTGTAGGAGAGCCTAATCAATTCTAAATCCTATGACTATGACTTTGCAACTTAAACTCTGATATTACTCTGTATCATACTCTAAACAATTTTATTTCCTATGTGGTTGTGCAAACATTAGATATTGCAAGGTTATAACTTTTGCAACTTTTAAGTTTTAACTTTGCAATATCTAATGTTTGCACAACCATACATACGAAATAAAACTTTTAAGTTTTAACCTTGCAATATCTAATGTACGACAAACTCACAAATAGAGTGACAAACGAGAGCAGAGACTACAACAAATTGTCAAATTACCTAGGTAATTGAATTTATTGAACTAATTTAAAATTTAAATAATTAATTTGAGTATTTGAGGTTACTATAGTCAGTATAGTGTTGTACTGCTATTTCTGAGTTACTAGGTAAATCAAATTCGAAAATTCTCAATTGTATTCTTTGCAATTGCAAGTTTGCAACACGTAATTTGATTTTATTTTTTGGTTTTTGACGTTTTTCAGGCAACACAATTTAGTAAATTGACGCAAAGATGATAGATTCAGCTAGTGTACTATTGCTTATTTAATTCTTTTTTTATTATACAAACTCCCAAGTTCTTCAATTCTCCAGGTAATTAAAATTACTTATTGTTTCACAATTCTTGTTTATTATTTTATTTACATAACTTAATAATTCTGATTTCAGAATAATATATTCAAAAATTTGTTTTTTGATTAATTATTTATTCATAGAGTTTCTAAATAATTTTTTATTTTTTCATTAGGATTTTATGTCTTCTAGAAAATATTCATCTGTGTTTGAGAAGCGTACAAAAAAAAAAAAGAATTGAGCAACTAACTCAATCTGAAAAGGGAGCTCTTGAAAAATTCATTAAAAAAAAAACCCAGATAGATGAGTAAAAAGATGATGCCAAGGAAAAAATTGTTAGATGCTGTTAGAGCATGAAAATAATGGTAGAGTATTCTGTTAGTTCCCCCTTCCAACTCATGTATATATACATCTCCATCTCCCAGCTTGTAAACCACCAAAGCTAAGTAACAACAATAACATTTTCTGCATTTCATCCCTCTTCATAGCTTCAACATGTAACCGCTCCGCTTCCGTCATGGTATCAGAGCCACCACAGCGGTTCACCTACATTGCCGCCGGCATCGGAGAGTCCAGTCGAAGAAGCCATCCGACGACTCATGATCAATCCGCAGAGGATTATTGCTACGCAGAGTAGCAACAATGCCGACGCTCGATCACCAGTCCGATCAGCATCAGCAACGATTCTGCAGAGGAATCTGAATTCGCAGCAGCAAAGAAGCCAAAATCCAGAAGATATGGAGAATCCGATCGCTATATCTCCAGTCTAGGTGACCTCCACAGCAGTTCCGCATCGAAAAGAAGGAGCTCGTCCATCGATTCCAAGTCGATCTCCAGTTCAGGTGACCTCCACAGACGTTCCGCAACGGAAGGAAGGAGTTTGTAATTCACACCGAATCTCAGTTCTACAGAATGAGATTTTCAGTCTGAAACAGATGGAGCAGTCTTCCGACTCAGCCACAACGGCTGTGTCTCTCGTTCCGAAGCGATCGCAGGAGTTCACAAAGGAAGCTGCTAAGCGCTCGCAGGAGCTGACAATTGCAGGCTCCGCCAAGCTGTCTGACGTTGTTTTGGAGGCGTCTAAGCGATCCAAAGAGATCGACGTCGAAGCGTCCAAGTAGTCTAAGGAGATCGTGGTCGAGGCTTCCATTCCCACAGTCTCTAATGTTCGCCAGGATCTTACAGAGTTCCAGGAGAGACATGCAAAACTTGTTCTCACATCGGTGAAGGAAATCTCTAAACTAAGGTATGAGTTATGCCCCTGTGTGATGAGAGAAAGAAATTTTTGGAGAATCTATTTCATTCTAGTTAACATCCATATAACCCCTTATGAAAAGAGATACATGAATTCAGAGACAGTTTCCAATCATTCTCGACTCCTCACTGGCGCTCCGATCTCTCTGTTTTTCACTTCTGCTTTCCTATTAATGGCGAGTAATAAGGACACTGAAGAGATTGCTGCCCGTGGAAATGAGTGGGAGGTTGTATCACTAACTGCATCTGCATATGCTGCTGCTCTTGGTTCAAAACAAGAGGATGCACATCATGAGCATAAAGATAGTGGAGAGTATGAAGCTGAAACTTCCAGTGCATTGTTTATGTCTGGTCACTTTGTCTTTCCATCAAGTCAGCATGAGAATTTGCCACTGAAACAAGAAAACAATGAGATTTTTACTGAAAAGGTGGTTAAAGAGGCTGAATTTGTCTCTGCAGAAGGTAGTATGGCAAACATCAAAGCAAAATAGAAGAGAAAAAAGATGTGGATAAATGGAAGGGGGAGAGAAAGAGAGAAGAATGAAGAGTATTCAAAAGTTGATGCAAATGAGCACTCAAACAGAGATCTAGCAAGCCAATATGAGGTCCAGGGTTTCCCAATCATTAAGATCTTACGTGATGGAGGAAAGACAGTTCAAGAATATAAAGGTCCTCGTGAAGCTGATGGTGTAGTTACTTATTTGAAAAAGCAAGTGGGTCTTGCATCATCTGAAATCAAGTCGAAGGAAGATGCTGCTAATATAATTGATGAGAAAAAAGTTTTTGTTGTTGGTGTTTTTCAAGAATTTTCTGGAGAGAAGTTTGAAAACTTCATAAGTTTGGCTGAAAAGTTACGCTCTGACTATGATTTTGGTCACACACTTGATGCCAAACTCCTTCCTCGTGGCGAGCCAGTGGATAAGCCCACTCTTTGTCTTCTTAAACCATTTGATGAGTTTTTTGTTGATTTCCAGGACTTCCAAGTTGATGTAATGGAGAAGTTCATTGGTGAAGCTAGTATTCCTATTATCACTATTTTTGACCAAAACCCAGAGAATCATCTATATGTTAACAAGTTTTTTAATGGTCCCAATGATAAGGCAATGCTTTTTGTGAACTTCAGTAGTGAGCTCAGTGCTTTCAAATCCAAATACAATGATGTAGCTATGCTTTATAAGGGAAAGGGAGTTAGCTTTCTTTTGGGAGATCTTGAGACCGGTGATGGTGCACTTCAGTACTTTGGGCTCAAGGAAGATCAGGCACCTGTAATTGTAATACAGGATAAGGATCAGCAAAAATTCATTAAACCAAATGTGGAACCAGATCAACAGTCCTTTTGTATCTAAGCTGGGCGTGCAGGATCTACACGCTCCAGCTTACCGGGGGGGGGGGGGGGTGGTCGAGCATGAAAATAATGGTAGAGCATTCTGTTTGTTCCCCCTTCCAACTCATGTATATATATATATATATATATATATATATATATATATATATATATATATATATATATATATATATATATATATATATATATATCCATCTCCCAGCTTGTAAACCACCAAAGCTAAGTAACAGCAATAACATTTTCTGCATTTTCATCCCTCTTCATAGCTTCAACATGTAACCGCTCCGCTTCCGTCAGATGCTAATCTTCATATAGAAGAACAAGATGATTGTGAGATTGAAAAAAATTTAAATGATATTGTGCACAACAATGATAGGTATCACTGTGATAAACCAAATGATTTGCTTTTATTTGACATATATGATCTAAGAAATTGGGATGCCCTTGATTCTAAATTAATAGATATTTTTGTGAAAAATGGTCCTAAAAGAGATTTATCAATAAATAAAGGTCCTAAAGATAAATTCTCTAGAAGATTTTCATCAGCATTTTACACAAGATATTTGTCAAATGGAGAGAAGTGTGATCAAGATTAGCTTGTATATTCAAAAGAACTTGACAAGGTGTTTTGTTTTGTTGCAAGATTTTTTTTTTTTAAAAAAAGTATAGGAAAATGTGTTTTGGTCAATGAAGGTTTTAGGGACTGGACACATCTTTGTGTTAGACTTAAAGAGCATAAAACGTGTGTAGATCATATAACTAATATGACAACTTGGATGGAGTTGTGTCTTAGATTACAAAAACGTGAGATAATTGATAAAGTGACTCAAGAACAACTTTTGAAAGAAAAAATATATATTGAAAGAAAGGGGCCCAATTTAGAATATTGCACAAAACCTCCTTTTTTTTTTTTTTTTTTTTTTTTTTTTTTTTTTTTGTTGGAACAGCCCTAAGTGATATGTAGATCTGAATAATCTCAACAATAATGGAACATGATATTTGCATATTCCCAGTTAACTGTTAGTATTCCACTACATCGACCAATATTAAATTCAAAATATCAAGCTATAAAACTAATCCATTTTTGCTAAAGTGCAAGTTAAAGCATGCATACTATTTATTCTAATAATACTGATGGCAAAGAAATTATTCTCTGCAAATATGAGAGTATGAAGAAACTCAGAGGGAGAATACATATAGGTTCAAAGTCATGCATGCATGTTCAAATCAATCACTAAAAAGATCATTATTCAAAAAATAAGACCTAAGTTAGTAAAACCTAAATTTAGGGAAATCAATCGGTTATCATGTATAAAAAACATTTTATGTCATTAATGGTGAGAGAGTATACCGATTGCCTTCATAGTCGGAGAGCTCTTCTCAGATGAATAACCCGGCGAGACCAGACACTGCAAAATCAGTCTTATAACAAACAAATTTTTACAATCTAACATAGCTAACATAGATCTAGCTCAGACGAACAATGGTAGTGCTAGGAAACAACCGATTAGTGAGAAAACAATGTAAAATCACTACAATTTTCATAAATGGAGGTAGAGAGATATCAGAGAATGAAGGGTGAGAAGAAGATTCTAGAGAGAGAGCAAAAAATCATATAACATACTACACTGTTACATAACTTTTTAATTGAAATACAGCTTACATAGTTCATGTTACATGAACTATGGACTTAATCTAAAGAAAAAAATCTAGTGCATAATACTCTATTTCATAACTTTTTAATTGAAATACAGATTACATAGTTCATGTTATATGAACAATGGACTTAATCTAATGAAAAAAACGGACACATAATTTTTTGCTGAATACCTTGATTGGTTAGTATTCTTTATTCCGGAAGATAAGAATAGTCTTCAAATTACTCAGTGGTATATACTACTCTATTACATAGCTTGTTTTCTGAAAAAAAAAATTACAAAAAGAATATTAAAAAATAGGACAGACATAATATAACCCTAAAAACATACTTTAGGTTAAAGTTACAATAGAAACCAAATCATTTAATATTGCAAAAGTAAATACAAGTCAATTTTAAAAATAAAAAATATCACCAGGCCAAGTCATAAGAGTAATCTTAGCTTACATAATACATGATTGATCAGAAAAGTACCCTCCAAACAAAAGAGTTGTTTGCCCAAAATAATTTTGAACAAAAGAGGCATTGATTCAAAAGATAATGTCTTGACAATCATAACATATATCATCATATGACTTGGCAATGAAGAATAGAAGGAAAATAAGTAGACTTACTCGATCTAACTAAAGAATCAAGCTATCAATTCAAAGAGAACCGACATAAAACGTTGTTTGAGCAAATAAACTTCTTTCAACCGAAAAGTTACATTAGTTCCATTACAAGACTTAGGAAAATTGAAGATGTTTATAAACAAATAAACAAATAAAAAAGGTCAAATAAAAGAGTTGACTTATCAAAAGAGATATTCTGAGAGGAGAGTAGTAATTAAGTAAAGCAAAAGGATAGTATTGTTAGAAGGGTTAACACATTAAAAGATGCTAAAAGTATTCAAGAACAAATGAGAGTATTTGATAAACAATAGTGACCTTTAAAAAAGACCAAATAAATGATGGAATTATAATAATTTTCGAAGAATGTTAACCATGCAATATGATGAAGTAGTACAAGAAAGAATAATATTTTGTAAATGGTAAACCAAAATACCTCTAGTTCATGAAAATGAGCTATTGGACACAATTTGTTTCAAAATGAACAAATTTGTTTCTTACCAGAGATAAATAGATAACTCTTCAAAAAGCAACATCTAATTCTATGCTTAACAAAATCATGCATCTAGATTCTAAGTGTCAAACTTGAAACTTATCAAATTTTAACAATTTTTTAAGTGAGACAACATGCATAAACTTGTGGAGTTGTGAACATTATTCTTGAGAGAAGAACAATAGTTTTTGACTGAATAATGCAAAGGAACTTGATCATTGATTCTTATAAAAAAGGTCATGTACTCATGTTCTACAAGTAATATAATGGCCAATGGGACTTTGTGGATGTTCTCAATGAGCATTGCAATAGCAAGGAGACATGGTGGACGATTCTTGGGGATTATATAGAATATTTCTATGAAAGGGTTGTAGTCACTTAGAATTCGTCGATCGAGATAAGAAAATAATGAGTAGATTAGATGGGTTACACCATCTACCGACAACTATCAAAATTATTTCTCTATATAATCTTTAATTTAATTTACTACTTTTTTTTTTTGAAAACATATAATCTTTACTAATTATTACACTTTACATTCTATTATTTATTTTAAAAACAATACAAAACAAACTCAAACGACGGTAACATTTTATCAAATCATGATGTATATAAATTTCACCGAAACAAGGCTAGTAAAAGACTTCCAACGTGCACACTCTATATAATTTTTAAATTAAAAAAAAATATTTACCCCTTTTAAACTAGATTAAGACCAACAATTATGAACATTTTTGTATATTTATATATATATATATTTTTCTTTTTCCAATGTTATGTTTTATTTATTTATTTATGTTATATTGATTATTTTTAGTATTCTTATCTTGTAATTTTACTATTTTAATTAAGATTTCGTTATTATTTTTAAACACTCATCATTCTTTACAAGATAGTATATATTCTTCACTTTTTTAAACATTTTCAGCTCAAAGAGTCTAAGTTTCACCGGGGTTCGAACATATGACCACTTATTTAGAATGGTAATCGATATGACATCACACTACATGGTAGTTGACAATTAAGATTTTATTTAATCGTGTAATATAAATATATATTTGAGTAATTTATAATATAAGAAAAGATGCGGTGTGATCAATTTTAAAAAGAAACTAGTATGATACCCGTGCGATGCACGGACTAAATATTAGTAATATTATTGTTAAATTATAGATGGTAATTAATATTGTTTTTATTAATTTAAAATTTCATATTCTAAAAACTTCAAATTTTATATAAGTTTTAGAATTTAATTAATAAAAATTTGACATCTAAATGGAACACAATTAATAGGAAATTACTACATCTGTTAAACGTGAAAAGCAAAATATTATAAAATTACAAATTATTGAAAACTTCATGGTACACAACGTTAGTTGTTGATGTACAAATTGTACTTGAGTCATTCTCAATTAATATTTTAAGACCATCTAGATTGTTGATCCGAGATGCAATAACGTACAACTGACCATGTACAAAAATCGATTTCTTTAATAGCAATTCCACATGTGACAGCGTTTGATCTTGACTTTTATTAATGGTCATTGCATATGATATCATCAATCGGAACTGTTTTATTTGAAATTTGAATGGTAATCTTGGATCAGACGGTGTCATAAACATGCGGAGAATCAAGACTTTTGATCCTTTATTAGCACTAGACATTATTATCCCGGCTTCAATAACATGGTTTGCTAACTTAGGTGATTACCAATCTAGTCCCATTACGTAGACCAAGGGAATGGTCTATATTTCTTAATAACATGACCGGTGAACCAATTTTCAAAGTTAATGAATGGTTTGGTGCACCTGAAACTCTAATGCCATTTAAAAACTATAGTGTGTGTACATCTCCAAGTATTCCATTGGTTGAATCAGCTTTGCAAACTGTGTAACAACAAAAGTATGTCCTACTTTCAGAAGTATGCAACGCACTCATATATTCATTTACAAAGTTCACAACATTTAGTGTTGGTGCTAGTATTATGACACCCCAAAAATCCACACTCCAATCCATGAATTAATTGAGTAATTAATTCTATTTCTCTTGAGGAATTGATTCCTAAAATCCTGAATTTTGATACTCAAGGACTGTAACACCCCGTGTTACGGCCTTCAATCCCGGATTAATTATTTAATTAATCCCGTTAATAATAATTAAATATGATTTAATTCAGTTAGGTTTCCCTTTAATTAATTAATGAGGTCCACCATGAACCGTGGACCCTTGCCTAAATGAGAGTCTTAGGCCTATTAGGAATAAAGGAAGTAGGCCTTTTACTATTCAGATTATGATTAGGATTCTCTTTAATTAATTAATATGGTCCACTATAGACCATGGACCCTTATCCCTAAAACAAGTCCTTAGTCCTATAAGGAATATAATTAGTAAACCCATACCATTCAGGCCCTAATTAGGAGTCTTAAATATATAAATAGGGATATAGAAGGCACCTAGATCTTTCACCACAATAATCTCTCACCACACAAGAAGTTCCAAGAATCCCCTTAGGAGAAATCAAGAAAGAAGAAAGCTTAAAGAAAGACCCTTCATAGCCAAGGAATTAATTAAGGCTAAGAGGTAACCCATGTCTCAACAAAACCTATTTTCATAGCTATGATTCCCCTCTTAGGATTTCCCCATAATATTGTGTATTGTTTATGTGTGATATTATTATTGATGATTGGTGGGATAATTCCATGGGTGATCTTGATGAGGAGAGGTTCTTGATAATTATGGTGTTCTTGATGATTATATGACGTTCTTGATAATTATGGTGTTCTTGATGATTATATGACGTTCTTGATAATTATGGTGTTCTTGATGATTATATGACGTTCTTGATAATTATATGGTGATCTTGATGTTCTTAATGATTATATGAGATTCTTGATGATCATATGATATTCCTACCGAATCTTGATTTTGGAAGATGAATTGTGTTCTTGTTGATTTAAAAATAATTAGAACCCTAGGTTATATCGTGGAATCCGTATGGTATTATTCTTGGTATATTGGGTGGGAATTCGCATGATTGGGTGTTGATTATGTTTAGAAAAGCATGATAGGTTATGCGCCATACGTTTCTTGATTTTGATCCGTTAATTGTCTACGTGTGTTATCAATTGTGTTTAAAAGTGTCGAAGCATGGTTTCGGGTTCCACAAAGGTTCCCGGGGCGTTTTTGGTGAATAAGAGTCAGTGGGGGGTAGGGACCCGCCACCTACCCACGGCCTAGTTGGGCAACGCCGGCAGCGGGCAGCTGCCCGCCGGGCGCCCGCTGCCCGGAATAGTAGAACGCCGGCGGGTGACCCCCACCCACCGGCTACCCGCTGGTTTG